GTATTTATGTAGGCTTTCTGTTCAGTATGCATTAGGGCTGTCATTAAATATTCTAAATTCGAATATATATTAATTTCGAAGGTGAAAATGAATATTCGAATGTGGAAAAAAACACCCGCGGTAGCAGACTAACGTTACCACAGCACAGCTCGCTCGAAACGCTCAATGTTGGTTCTATATACTGTGAAACTTCAATTAATGTATTTGTTTTAATCACTAAATGAAGCCTACTATATTTGGGACAAGAGTCGCAACCTTAAATTGCTTGCACAAAACTCTGTATCAGCACTCAACATTTGTTTGTTGTTGTTCATTTAAACCAACGCGCAGAGAGCGTGAAGGTGAGAGAGAGAAAGAGTGCCTGCGAGACTTGGCCATTAGTTGATTTACTTGTTTTTTTTTATAGTAAAACGTTGTTAAATATGTTGAAACTCAAATAAACTACCTTTATGTCTCTTTGTATTAATTTGTCCTGTTACTGACGTAATGCGCGTCATTGACAAAATGCACAACGAGATGTTCAAATATGTTTTGGAATGTGAAGGAATATGCAAACGCCATTTGAGCAATTTTGACAGCCCTAGTATGCATGGGGAGATGTGGGATCCAGTGTTCATAACGAACACTGGATCCCACATCTCCCCATCTCTGATGTTAACTCCACTGGATCCCACATTTTACACCACTGCATCCCACGCTTAACTCCACTGGATCCGACACTTTACACCACTGCATCCCACGCTTAAATTCCCTATGATCCCATGCTTAACTCCACTCCATCCCACACTTTACACCACTGCATCCCACGCTTAACTCCACTTGATCCCATACTTTACACCACTGCATCCCCACGCTTTACACCACTGCACCCCACACTTTACACCACCGCACCCCACGCTTTACACCACTGCATCCCACGCTTAACTCCACTCCATCCCACACTTTACACCACTGCATCCCACGCCCATGCTTTACACCACTGCATCCCAAGCTTTACACCACTGCATCCCACGCTTTACACCAATGCATCCCACGCTTTACACAACTGGATCCGTCATTATTTTATTAACATTGCAAAGAAGCAACAGGAAAATAAATGTGTGCCTGAACTAGGAGCATACTTGTAGAAATTAATAATATAACTGTGACGATCAGCAGCTGTAGTGCCCTTGAGAGGCATTGGAGGGCACTCTCTCCTTGTGTTATGTTTTCACCTTAGACTCATGTTTTATTATGTTCAGCTGTGTTTCATTATTGGTTAATGAATTCCTTATTTAAACCTGTGTTTCCCCTGTGTCCTTTGCAAAGTCTTGTTACCCTGTAAGCGTGCATTTCTGAGTGTTATTCCCTGTTCTGTTAATCCGTGTTTCCCTGGATTCTCAACCTTTGCCTGTATCCTGGACTGTTCACGAACCTGTGCTGCCTGCCTCGACCTACGCCTGTTTACACCACAAGTTATTGGATTGCCCTTGTTCATTTGTGTGCCTGGTTTATTCCTGTTTATGTTAAAGGTATAATAAAGTTCTGCGCATGGATCCGACCGTCTCTGTCTGTACGTTACGACAATGACCGATACAGCCGAGTGTTTTTCCTCCTCTGACTGGAAACGTGTCATAAGGCTTCTCATATTTGTCGTGTTTCCGAAATATTTTAGTTTTATTCTACAAAGCTTACAACTAGTGTGGCTCTTGTCCAAGCTTCTTTTTCCCTTCGACTTCAGAAGCCAAAATATTTCCACAAGTCAGCTTTTAACAAGGAGGGAGTTTGGATTAGACACTTAGCCATCGCATCTCTGTTATGTGCACGCCACAGACGGTCCGCGCACTGCACTTCCGCGCTTCAGAGTTCCGACTTTCGCTTTCCGTCAATATTACGTTATTATAAATATATATATATATATATATATATATATATTTTTTTTTTGAAAATCAATTTTTGACATTTGTGAATCAATTCAGAATCGTCCACATCCGCATCGCGATGCATCTAAGAATCGATTTTTTTCCCCCAACCCTACTTTACACCACTGCATCCCACGCTTTACACCACTGCATCTTGCAAGAGTGTTCTTGCAGCCTGCTCTGACCCCACTCTGGGATTTTACATAGCTGAGTTTCTATTATTCCAAATTGCTCCCACTTTGTTATAATACCACTAACAGTTGAACGTGGAATATTTAGTAGTGTGGAAATTTCATGAATGGACTTATTGCACAGATGGCAACTTGAATTCACTGAGCTCCTGAGAGCGACCCATTCTTTCACAGATGTGTGTACAAGCATCTTCATGCCTAGTGAAGAGACGACCAGGGCCTGTGAAGAGACGACTCAACACCTGCGGTATGTTATGGCGCCGTTTTATACATAAACAATATTTTTATTTTAATATTTATATATAAACAATATGAATGTAAGCCAGAGGAGAACTGGCCCCCGACTGAGCCTGGGTTCTCCCAAGGTTTGTTCTCCATCCAATCTGATGGAGATTTGGTTCCTTGCCACTGTGGCCTTGCTTTTGGCTTGCTCAGTTGGGGTTATTACGGTGGCCGAGAGGTGCAAAACAAATCACAATTATGAAAACAAAAAAACAAGTCAGAAAACACAACGACAATTCAGAAAACAAAATAACAATTCAGAAAACACAACAACAAATCTGAAAACAAATTAACAAATCAGAAAACACAAAAACAAATCTGAAAACAAATTAACAAGTCAGAAAACACAACGACAAATCTGAAAACAAATTAACAAGTCAGAAAACACAACGACAAGTCAGACAAAACGGAAAAGGTAGGTATATGTGGCGAATGGAATACTGATCGCTGATTGGACGAGACATCTGTCAATCAAGACATACAGAAAGTACAGCAGACAGCGCCTGCGGCAGAAGAAAGATTTATTCGCATGTGTATGTGTAAATATTAGCTGTCTATTTAGCCGGTTAATTTAGTGATATTATGGAGAACAAAACTTTTCAAATTAAAATCTTCCTAACACTATTAGTAAACACAACTCCTTAAAGGGTTAGTTCACCCAAAAATGAAAATTAAGTCATTAATTACTCATCCCCATGCTGTACCAACCCCGTAAGACCTTCGTTCGTCTTCGGAACACAAATGAAGATATTTTTGATTAAATTTGAGAGCTGTATAACTACCACATTGGCTCCTAAGGGACTGCCTCTTGACGGCCCAAAAAGTCAATGAAGAAAATGTTTAAATATCCCAAGTGACTACCGTGGCTCAACTATATGTTTATCAAGCGACGCAAATACTTTTTGTGCGAAAAAACAAACAAAAATAACGAGTTTATACGACTATTTCTTTTCTTCCTTGTAGGCCAGAACGAGACTTCCTTATAGATTTCCACGACGCATGCGCGAGAATTGCGATCTGAAGTAGTGTAAGCTGGTGTAAGCAGATCGCAAATCTCGCGCATGCGTCGTGGAAATCTAAGGAATTCTCGTTCTGGCCTACAAGGAAGAAAAGAAATAGTCGAATAAACTCGTTATTTTTGTTTGTTTTTTCGCACAAAAAGTATTCGCGTCGCTTGATAAACATATAGTTGAGCCACGGTAGTCACTTGGGATATTTAAACATTTTCTTCATTGACTTTCTGGGCCGTCAAGAGGCAGTCCCTTAGGAGCCAATGTGGTAGTTATACAGCTCTCAAATTTAATCAAAAATATCTTCATTTGTGTTCCGAAGACGAACGAAGGTCTTACGGGGTTGGTGCGGCATGGGGGTGAGTAATTAATGACTTAATTTTCATTTTTGGGTGAACTAACCCTTTAAGCTTGCGTTCGGTTATCCACTGGACCGCGCTGCCTAGTTCAAAGTAAACTAGTGAAACAACTGAAACCAGCGCTATTTTGTTCTCTATTTGTTCTTACTGACAGAGAAACCGCTTCAGATGATTCAGTGACAGAACGGTCCGAACGAATCCGAATCGTTTCCTACTGTTATGCACACGCGTTTGGCCAATTCGTGAAAAGGAGATAGGAATCGAACCAACGAATGATTAATATCGCTGGTTCAGTCGACAGAAATACGGGACACACATATTAACTACTGAAATATTCGGACTGAAAACGTTTTTCTCAGGTCAGTCGGAGCGCTCGTGGTACACACACAGTGCGTATACAGCTGCACGCGCCACTGCGGCCACGCGCATATCAAACCAAATTTAGCCGCACCACCAGAAAATAGGAGGGGGAGGTTGGAGTGCTCTCGGGCCGCATGGAGATGATTGGCGGGCCGCACTTGGCCCGCGGGCCGCCAATTGAATAGCCCTAGCCTAGACGATACAGCTAATATTTACACATGCACACGCGAATCGATCTTTCTTCTGCCTGTATGTCTTGATTGACAGATGTCTCGTCCAATCAGCGATCAGTATTCCATTCGCCACATATACCTACCTTTTCCGTTTTGTCTGACTTGTCGTTGTGTTTTCTGACTTGTTAATTTGTTTTCAGATTTGTTTTTGTGTTTTCTGATTTGTTAATTTGTTTTCAGATTTGTTTTTGTGTTTTCTGATTTGTTAATTTGTTTTCAGATTTGTTTTTGTGTTTTCTGATTTGTTAATTTGTTTTCAGATTTGTTGTTGTGTTTTCTGAATTGTTATTTTGTTTTCTGAATTGTCGTTGTGTTTTCTGACTTGTTTTTTGGTTTTTATAATTGTGATTTGTTTTGCACCTCTCGGCCACCGTAGGTTATTTAGTGTTTAGCAATATTATTGATCTGTGTTGTACTACTTTCATGTTATCACTGTGAAGCTGCTTTGATACAATCTGTATTGTGAAAAGCGCTATATAAATAAATGTGACTTGACTTGACTAGTGCTTGATTTATACAACTGTGGGTATGGAAGTGAGTGGAACGCCTGAATTCAATGATTTGTAGGAGTGTCCCAATACTTTTGGAAATATAGTGTGTTTTACACGCAGATTCTGGAAGTGCACAAATAAATCGGTGTGTGTTTCAAACATGAGTTACATACTTCCTGAGCTCCGTTCGCTCGTCTGCGGTCATTCTGCGCGATTCTGCGCCCGGCTGCAGTTTAGCGTATCTGTGAGAACACACACACACACATATCAAATCAAAATTTTTAAATATCATCCATTATTAACCAAATTCAATTTCAGTATTAAAACAGCTCTACAGACAATAGAGGCATTATTCAGATCAGTTCAGTTCATGGTCTGTTCTTAGTGCAGCTAAATGTTTGTGTGATTGTGTGTGTGATTAAGTGTGTCTGTGAGTGAGTGAGTGAGTGTGTGTGTGTGTGTGTGTGTGTGAGAGTGAGTATGAGTGTGTGTGAGAGTGGGTGAGTGAGTGAGGGAGTGTATGTGTGTGTGTGTGTGTGTGTGTGTGTGTGCGTGTGTGTGTGTGTGTGTGACCTGTTGAGCAGCAGGTCCAGCACTTGTTTAGTAGTAGCGAAGGTCCTGTAAGTGCAGAGGAAGATGGTGACGTATGTGGAGTCGTTCCCTCTGAAGGCCGTCACCATGTTCTCCACCAGTCGCTCCAGCGTCCCGGCTCTGATGATGCGCAGCTTACAGGTCTCGTACAGACCCAGACCTGAGTCCGAGTCCAGACCCGTCCAGCGCTGGCTCCTGCTCGACGACTGGTACAACTGGACCTTCCTCAGCGTGATGCTGAACACGGCACCGTCCTCTACCTCCTCACCGATCTCCTGACTCGCATTCTACACACACACGAAGAAGACATCAGTTCACACGACACGACAGGCATTCATCAGGCATTCATCTGCTGCTGTGAGTTCATGAGTGTTAAAGGGATACTCCACCCAAAAATGACAATTCTGTCATCATTTACTCATCCTCAAGTGAAGAATGATTGGAACCAAACAGTTGTTTGGCACCATTGACTTCCATAATAGAAAAAAAAAAAATACTATGAAAGTCAATAGTGCCAAAGTTCCAATCGTTCTACAAAATATCTTCCTTTGTGTTCAGCAGAAGACAGAAACTCATACAGGTTTGCAACAACTTGAGGGTGAGTAAATAATGACATAATTTTCTTTTTTGGGTGGAGTATCCCTTTAAAGTTGACATATTACACCCGTCCACAAGATGTAATATAAATCTATGGCGTCCATGTGTCTGTGAAATTTCAGCCCAAAATACCAGATCATTTATTAAAGGTCGCCAAATTTGCCCTTTTGTGTGTGAGCAAAACATGCCGTTTTTGTCTGTGTCCTTTTAAATGCAAAAGCTCCGCCTCCGTTCAGAAGAGGGCGGAGCCTATACACAAGCTTCAGAGACTCCACAATCAGTGTTGTGCAAGTTACTTCCAAACTGTAATAGATAGATAGATAGATAATCTTTATTCAGGACACACAAGATGGTCCATAGCCCTATACATATACCATAATACTACAAAGTGCATTAAAAAGAAAAAGAAGAAAGAGAGAGAGAGAGAAAAAAAGGAAGAGAAAAGAACAGAGTTCTATAAAATGACTACATAGTCAGTATTCTGCAATACATACAAAAAAGTGTTCAAATGTTAACATACAAACTAAAACGCCAATGATTCCACAAACCAGAAGTGAACCTAACAGCACTCAATGCCGGATTCACTAGTGTTTTGATGATGCTGTTATGTGATTCTGCTAGTCTACACATACATTTGTACATGAGATTCCTGAGTACAGCAGGACATGTGGATACGTTAACACTTACACACATTTGACTCGCACTGCCCCCTCGTGGCAATTTAAGCAGCAACCGCAACCCATCATTATATGCCACCTTGAGTTTCTGCAGACTACTTTTTTTATAACGCCGCCACAAGTGAGCAGTGTACATCGGAGTACAAAAAGCTTTAAAAAGTCTAATCTTTACAGAAAGTGAGCACATATTAAATTTGCGATTCAACATATTAGCTTGTGCATATATCATACAGTACTGTCTATGAATGTCCCTATCATCAGACAGGTCATCAGTGATATAATGTCCCAAGTATTTGACCTCATCACACACTTTCAGTAAAGTACCAGACAGATAAAATGCAGGAAATGAGAGTTTACTATCCTCCCTGCTTCTAACAATCATTATATTACTCTTCTTAGAGTTGTAAGTAATGTCAAAGTCCAAACCATATTGGGAACAGACCCTTAGTAGTTGTTGGAGACCAGCACTATACGGACAAAAAATGACCAAGTCATCCGCATACATTAGGTGGTTAATAACAGTGTCCCCAACCCTACAGCCTGTCCCACAGCTGTTTAACAGATTTGATAGATCATCCATATAGATATTAAAGAGAAAGGGAGATAGAATGCTTCCCTGCCTAACTCCATTACCTATATTAAATGAGGCAGACACAGCATTACCCCACTTCACAAAAAAAGACTGATGGGCATACCAGAAGGCCAAGATTCTCACTAGATATTTAGGGGCCCCTCTGTTGTACAATTTGTAGAATAGCTTCTCATGGTTTACCCTATCAAAGGCTTTGGAGGCATCAATAAAACACAGAAAAATAGTTGAATTATGCCTATTATACAAATCTAAAATCTCCTTCAGGGCAAAAATACACATGTCAGTGCCATGCTTGGGTTTGAAGCCAAACTGATTGTCAGATGTCAAAACAAAATGTTCCAACCTATTCAATATAATTCTCTCCAGGACTTTGGATAAAATACTGGCTAGGGCTATGGGCCTGTAATTGTCTATGCTATTAATCTTACCCACTTTATCTTTAATGATAGGCACCAATATAACCGATAAAACAGAATCAGGTAAAATACCATGGACTAGCAGCCCAGTGAAACAAATAGCAATTAGGGGACAGAGTTTCCTACTTGCAAATTTCAAATGCTCCGCAGATATCTCATCCTTACCGCATGCCTTATTATCCTTTAGCATCACAATTGCATCAAAGATTTCTTGAGGTAAGACAGTTACATCTTCATTGCTATCAATGTCACCCATCGTAAACAGCTTACTTTTAACACAGTTAAACAGCTCATAGTAATGTTTCCGCCATAGCTGAATAATTTCATCAGGGCCATTGACACCATTAATGTTCGTTGGTAATGATGTTTTGCAATTATTCATTCTCTTAATTTCCTTCCAGAAATCAATAGGACTATTATATTGCAACTTCCTTGCCAAAGAATCCGACCTCATTATATTTTCCTTCCTCTTAATGTACCGTAGAGCATATTTAAACTTTGCATTTGCCCGTTTCTTGTAATCAAATAACGGACCCCATTTATGTCTACCTGACTCATCCCATGCCTTAAAGGCTCTTCTTGCCTCAGCATGTGTCTCTTCTACATAGTCATTCCACCCTGGCTTGACCTTGTACAATCTGTGTGTCTTAACCAGGGGCTTGCTCGAGACAAGAAGGGACTTTACTATATTCTCATATAGGGTACATAGCTCAATACCGTGTTGAGGGTTCTTACAATTAATATCAGAGCATGCCATAGATACTTTAGGTAATTCAATATTATTCAGCAGGACATCAGACTGGATATAATATTTTTTAAGGTCCTCCTCATTCAGGTTAGACCAATCTATGTTCCCCACGCACATGTTATCTGCAGGTACAAAAGCAGGTAGACTGCCTAGACTTACAGACAGAGAGAAAGGCACATGATCAGTAGTGGCAAATTCATAGTTAATTTTTATAGCCTCTATAGAATCATGCGCATCAGCCGTGCAAATGCAGTGATCTAGCCATGAAGTCGTGTGCCATGCCTCACTGATGTAGGTGTAACTGATGTCAGGCAAGAGCACTTTGCTAGAAAGAATTAGACCATTATCATGACAGAACTGCATTAGATGCTTGGCAAATATAGCACTGTCATCAGAGACATCTGCATTCATATCACCCACAATAAAGCAGCACGTAGAGGCATTATCTTGTATGAAAGACATAACACACGCTAGCCTATTGAGATATTCCTCTTCATTTTGAGAACATTCATATGGTGTGTAAATGTTTAAGATAATGAAGTTTTTATCCCCACAATCAAACTCAATTCCTATGGCCCAATCCACACCCAGTCTAAGCACCTTAACCAGCTGATCATATTTTTTACGCCACAACATGGCAACCCCACCAGGTATTCTACCATAAACAATCCTGGTACTCAGGTCAGTAGTAGATTCACCCACCCCATAAAAGTCATTATGCAGGGAGTTTAGTCCTTCTAAATCCTGTTTTGCTAAAAAAGTTTCTTGCACACATAGTACATCACAAGCTTCTAAGAGCTTGTCCACTACTAGGCGGCGCGATTTGTCTGCTTCACTGTGACCAAGGCGCAGTCCTCGTGCGTTATATGACACGATATTAAAGTTCATCTCTGTCTATTATTCCTAGGCTGCAGCCTGACTGCTGCTCCCCTGTGGGGCTACTGGTATACGGCCAAACATAGGGCACTGCTGCTGTAGGCCAGCCTCTCCTACTGATATATGGGCCGCGCTATCACTGTCACCTTTGGGTCTACGAGCCTCAAAGTAGCGACGTACATAGATCCCCTCCGGCCAAAGTTGCGGCTCATAAATTTCACCAACTTCATTACATTCAGCAGTAACATGAAACGAACTAAATCTATTGCGGGTAGTCTCAATTTTGCGACACAGCACAGAATTACCAAGTTTTCCAATCAGATAGTCACGCAGAGTGTCCGCATCAAGATCCGGAGAGAATCTGGTTGCAAAGACACTCACCAGCTTAGTTTTAATTACTGGGATATTACTCACGTCTGTGCCGGTACCAACTATACCCATTTTAGTTTCACGCTTTGAACGGGTCTGCTTGCGGCCAGGTTTCAGTTGCACGGTCAATTTTGATGGCTTCTGAGGCGGCTTACGCCTCCCTTCCTTCACGACAATATTCCAAGCAGGAGAAGAAGTTTGTGTACTCGTAGTCTCTTCCAGTGCCTGATGAACAAGACCCGCCGACACCAGCGTTTCTCTCTCCTGAGATCCCGACGCAGTACTAGCCCGGCCAGAGGATCCGCGGATTTCTTCAATCTCCGTCATCCGGCGATCTAGGGCCGCAGTAGCCGCCCCAAGAGTTTCACTCACACTTGCCTGCGTTTCCAGGATTCCCCTTAGCGTAGAAACCTCCCGACTCAATCGTTCCATCCTGCCGAGTAACGCCGAGGTATCCATATTGCCGATCCCAACAGGTGGGAGTTCATCCAGGTAATGTGAGACAAACCTGGGAATATCTTCACCACGCTCATTGAGCAATTTCAGACAGTCCTTGACGTTATTAACGTCCTTCTGAGTGCCTTTGTGCTTGATATTACGTTGCGTTGTCGGGCACAGTTCAAACAAAAGTTTCTTGGAACGCTCAATCCAGTCCGAGGAGAAGTTGTTTGAAGCTAACAAAACAATTTCATCCTGTGATAGTGTCTTGATTTTGATAGAAATGAAGTTTAAAAACTCATCTTCCACTATCACTTTCCCATTAGAGGTTTCATAAACCTCAGGTTTTATACGGGAACATGCTGCAGTAACACGCAAAGCAGCGGCAGCCGCCATATTGGACCACAATATAATACATTAGGTATACATTAGGTATACAGGTAATACATTAGGTATTACTTGTTACTGTTATTTAAAAGTAATTCATTACCTTACAATATTACTGTTTTAGAATTGTAATGCGTTACATTACTCATGTATTACTTTTGAGTTACTTTCACCAAAATAACTAAGT